AGCTTCAACTCACCCACTGGTTAGCACAGATACACAAAAACAGTTAAAACAACCGTTGGCACAAGGACACCATTTGGGGATTTGAATAGATTTTTTCAAATCTTCAAATCGCAGCTTGCTTGTATGTTCATAAATGTGATCTGGGCTTTTTCTAGAGCCTGCATTACAGATACTGCGCACTTGTTAGCACAACATAATGCTAATTAATCAGCAATTAGAGATGGTCTCGGAGCACAAAAGAGAGAGAGAGACACACACACACACACGCGTGCGCGCGCACATACATACAGAAACCGAGAGACAGACAGACAGAAGTTGAGACAGGAATACAGCAATGGATAGATGAAAAGAACAGCGGACCTGAAGATGGGATATGAGACAGAAGTAGCAATTACCTTTGTCAATGGCCTTCATGTCATGAAGGAACTCACGGAAGTTGCCTTTGGGCTCATTATCACGGATGATTTCAAGAAATGAGTGGAAGGATGATGCATCTCCCCGGCAAAGCATATCTACAAGGTCATCGTTGTGTGCATTTGGGTCTTCAATATTCATGAGCTTAGTTTTCTCAGTACTACTGATGAGCCCTTTTGCAGCGCATGCCAAACGAATGGTCCGGCAGCTTAAATTGTCCACCAAGTATGGTATGTACTTCAGGAAGGCAGCATTTTTCCAGGGGTTTTCCACCCTGCACACAGTCGGCTCCTCACTGCTGCAGGTACACATTGAAGAAAAAAAGAAATGTAGATTATGCTTCCGGTATCAGTAAGGAGCTTGGGAAATTTACATGCTGAATTGATAAAATATTGTGCATGCGCAATTGATTAATTCAAGAGTACATAACCCCCCCCCCCCCTTCCATTTAGAGTGTGCAACTCGACTTTGGGTGCTGTCCCGACTGTCGAGACAGAATTTCAAGTTGACATCACGTTTTCTGATGGAATGTGCACTGTACACGTGATGTAATCTTTGCAGCTAGTCAAAGTTAGTTGCTGTTTGGAGCAGAAACACTGAAATTGACTATTTACTGAATGACTGTACTGATGTACTCATGTACTCAGGCATGCAGGCTAACTCGTATTTTAGCTGTTTGGCCCGAATGGACGCTGCTCTGCGGCCCCTTGGTGAACATTACCTGCGCTCGTGGAGCAGCTGAAAAGGACCACTAGTACAGTAATACATGTCAAGGCGACCACTCGGATAAGGTGACCACTGAAACCAGGATCAAGGGATGCTATTTCCAGTCAAATGACCCTGGATAAGGAGACCACCTGGTAACAGAGACCACGTTTCGAAGGTCCCTTGAGCGGTCGTCTTTGACAGGCTTCACTGTATGTCATGTTCCCGGTTTGAAAGTGGAGAGACGACTTTCGTGCCTTGAAAAAGGAGTAGAGAGTGACAAAGGTACGTCTGTAGCTGACTTTTGAATGCTCCTCGTACATTTTGATGGGAATAGAAAATTTCTCAGACCAGAGTCAGCGCGGCGGTGAACGTACAGTTTTCTTTTGGATTTTTTAGTTGTTTCGTCTCGTACCTATGTCAGTATGGTGATGGTGAAGTGGACAGGATGATTCTCTTCCTCTAGGCTTCGTTCAGCCGACTTTGCTTCGTCCTCGTTGAAAAGTGATGCTGAAAAAAGGTCGATTCGCAAAAATACGTTGATTTCAATGTACGTGCTGACCTTCGATTGCTGGCTATGAGTAAAACCATTCTAGCACCGAGGCAAGCACCCTTACAGATCAAGGTTTTAGCTACATCGAAGTATCATTCTCGCAGGATTGCCAGCACAGACCAAAATTGTTCAGACAATTCAAAATATGCATTTCTGCAGTAATTATTATTCTCACTGGTTTGAGGGAAAGACACAAACGGTTATTATTCTTGCTAGTTGTCTGTCTGTTGTCCGTCGTGGAGCTATCATTGACTGATCAATCATCCCTCTGCTGAAGTTACTTATGAGTCCTACCAAGAGTACATAACCCCAAAAGTGTGTAACTTCTAATCACCAAGATATGGGTGCCTTGCACAGTGTGCAGCCTGCATTACTAGTGAAGTGACGATCCAGCTGAATGGATTTGAGTTTTCCTACGGTTAAGCCTCAACAATTTCACGTGCAATACGTACTTGAAAGTTCAAAGGCAATGCCTGTGCATGATGCATCATGTACAAAACCATCCCAAGTCTCCGAGGAAAGCTTGGATTCGGAAGAAGGAAACCGTAGCAGATCAATAATGACGCAACGGCCCACAGTCCGTGGCTACGTAATTTTTTTTTTCAAAGAACACAAACCCGGCTCGAGACAAAAAATAATAACAAGAAAGATAACAAAGTTGCATGCGGGGAGAACGAAGAAACGACTAGAACACAGAAGTTGAGGGTTGACAGAACAAACAACTATTGAGTCAGGGATGACTACTAGTATCCACTAGTGCAGCTGTGTAGGTGTGTAGGTGTGTAGGTGTGTAGGTGTGTAGGTGTGTAGGTGTGTAGGTGTGTATGTGTGTAGGTGTGTAGGTGTGTAGGTGTGTAGGTGTGTAGGTGTGTAGGTGTGTAGGTGTGTAGGTGTGTAGCTGTGTAGGTGTGTAGGTGTGTAGGTGTGTAGCTGTGTAGCTGTGTAGGTGTGTAGGTGTGTAGGTGTGTAGGTGTGTAGGTGTGTAGGTGTGTAGGTGTGTAGGTGTGTAGGTGTGTAGGTGTGTAGCTGTGTAGCTGTGTAGCTGTGTAGCTGTGTAGGTGTGTAGGTGTGTAGGTGTGTAGGTGTGTAGGTGTGTAGGTGTGTAGCTGTGTAGGTGTGTAGGTGTGTAGGTGTGTAGCTGTGTAGCTGTGTAGGTGTGTAGGTGTGTAGGTGTGTAGCTGTGTAGGTGTGTAGGTGTGTAGGTGTGTAGGTGTGTAGGTGTGTAGGTGTGTAGGTGTGTAGCTGTGTAGATGTGTAGGTGTGTAGGTGTGTAGGTGGGGCGTTGTGTAGGTGTGTAGGTGTGTAGGTGTGTAGGTGTGTAGGTGTGTAGGTGTGTAGGTGTGTAGGTGTGTAGGTGTGTAGCTGTGTAGGTGTGTAGGTGTGTAGGTGTGTAGGTGTGTAGGTGTGTAGGTGTGTAGGCGTGTAGGTGTGTAGGCGTGTAGGTGTGTAGGTGTGTAGGTGTGTAGGTGTGTAGGTGTGTAGGTGTGTAGGTGTGTAGGTGTGTAGGTGTGTAGGTGTGTAGGTGTGTAGGTGTGTAGGTGTGTAGGTGTGTAGGTGTGTAGGTGTGTAGGTGTGTAGGTGTGTAGGTGTGTAGGTGTGTAGGTGTGTAGCTGTGTAGGTGTGTAGGTGTGTAGGTGTGTAGGTGTGTAGGTGTGTAGGTGTGTAGGTGTGTAGCTGTGTAGGTGTGTAGGTGTGTAGGTGGGGCGTTGTGTAGGTGTGTAGGTGTGTAGGTGTGTAGGTGTGTAGGTGTGTAGGTGTGTAGGTGTGTAGGTGTGTAGGTGTGTAGGTGTGTAGGTGTGTAGGTGTGTAGGTGTGTAGGTGTGTAGGTGTGTAGGTGTGTAGGTGTGTAGGTGTGTAGTTGTGTAGGTGTGCAGCTGTGTAGGTGTGTAGGTGGGGCGTTGTGTAGGTGTGTAGGTGTGTAGGTGGGGCATTGTGTAGGTGTGTAGGTGTGTAGGTGTGTAGGTGTGTAGCTGTGTAGCTGTGCAGCTGTGTAGGTGTGTAGATGTGTAGGTGTGTAGGTGTGTAGGTGTGTAGGTGTGTAGGTGTGTAGGTGTGTAGGTGTGTAGGTGTGTAGGTGTGTAGGTGTGTAGGTGTGTAGGTGTGTAGGTGTGTAGCTGTGTAGGTGTGTAGGTGTGTAGCTGTGTAGGTGTGTAGGTGTGTAGGTGTGTAGCTGTGTAGGTGTGTAGGTGTGTAGGTGTGTAGGTGTGTAGGTGTGTAGGTGGGGCGTTGTGTAGGTGTGTAGGTGTGTAGGTGGGGCGTTGTGTAGGTGTGTAGGTGTGTAGGTGTGTAGCTGTGTAGGTGTGTAGCTGTGTAGGTGTGTAGCTGTGTAGGTGTGTAGGTGTGTAGGTGTGTAGGTGGGGCGTTGTGTAGGTGTGTAGGTGTGTAGGTGGGGCGTTGTGTAGGTGTGTAGGTGTGTAGGTGGGGCGTTGTGTAGGTGTGTAGGTGTGTAGGTGGGGCGTTGTGTAGGTGTGTAGGTGTGTAGGTGGGGCGTTGTGTAGGTGTGTAGGTGTGTAGGTGGGGCGTTGTGTAGGTGTGTAGGTGTGTAGGTGTGTAGGTGTGTAGGTGTGTAGGTGTGTAGGTGTGTAGGTGTGTAGGTGTGTAGGTGTGTAGGTGTGTAGGTGTGTAGGTGTGTAGGTGTGTAGGTGTGTAGCTGTGTAGGTGTGTAGCTGTGTAGCTGTGTAGCTGTGTAGCTGTGTAGCTGTGTAGCTGTGTAGGTGTGTAGGTGTGTAGGTGTGTAGCTGTGTAGGTGTGTAGGTGTGTAGGTGTGTAGGTGTGTAGGTGTGTAGGTGTGTAGGTGTGTAGGTGAGGCGTTATGTAGGTGTGTAGGTGTGTAGCTGTGTAGGTGTGTAGGTGTGTAGGTGTGTAGGTGTGTAGGTGTGTAGCTGTGTAGGTGTGTAGCTGTGTAGCTGTGTAGCTGTGTAGCTGTGTAGCTGTGTAGCTGTGTAGCTGTGTAGGTGTGTAGGTGTGTAGGTGTGTAGGTGTGTAGCTGTGTAGCTGTGTAGGTGTGTAGGTGTGTAGCTGTGTAGGTGTGTAGGTGTGTAGGTGCGTAGGTGTGTAGGTGTGTAGGTGTGTAGGTGTGTAGGTGTGTAGGTGTGTAGGTGTGTAGCTGTGTAGGTGTGTAGGTGTGTAGGTGTGTAGGTGTGTAGGTGTGTAGGTGTGTAGGTGTGTAGGTGAGGCGTTATGTAGGTGTGTAGGTGTGTAGGTGTGTAGGTGTGTAGGTGTGTAGCTGTGTAGGTGTGTAGGTGTGTAGGTGTGTAGCTGTGTAGGTGTGTAGGTGTGTAGGTGTGTAGCTGTGTAGGTGTGTAGGTGTGTAGGTGTGTAGGTGTGT